GCTGTTGTCTTGGTGGTCGTTTTTGCTGTTGCTGTTGTTGTTATCGATCCAGCAAACAAATGAGCTGTCACCCTTCTGCCCAATGCCATGAAGTGATAAAATCAGGGTGTGTGATGTTCCATAGAGTGTATTATCAATATTAGGGCATTTAGGGATAAGCCTAGCTTTGATGTCATTTAGTGCAGTGCAGTGCAGTGAAACGGAAGGTGATTTACAGTCTATAATACAAGGTGATTAAAAAACAATATGTCAAAATCAATTTTACTATTTTATTTTACTGCGCTTGCAACTGCATACGGTCACATGCGCTCACGGGACACACCAAACATTTTCAATTAGTAGGAAATTTTGAATTTTGCCAGGGTGGCGATCGAAGCCTACTCTTATCTATTTTGGACCACCAAGGGATCTTCAACGCGCACAACGTGCACACGGAACCTCCGAGATTTTTCGCCCTTGTCCGAGAAGGCTAGGAGTAGATCTCTTCTACTAGAAGATCAGGGGTGTGGCTGAAACACAGCCGTAAGACGGAGCCAAGGAGTAGCTGTAGCAAGGCTGCAGAAAGAGTCAGGAGCCCAGTGGAGGGGGCTTATGAAGTGAGGGGGTGGAGGAAGAAAGTGAAGACAAAAGCAGACGACAGAATATTTCAAGAGAGAAGGAAAGAAGGTGATAGGAGACTATTTAAGAGAAGAACATTTTTTCGTCGCTACCCGGATTCGAACCCGGGACCTTTGAATGAGAGGTGAACACCTTATCATCTAGGCCACGAGAGTCCCCTTTTGTGACTTTAATCAACGTTTTTCAGCAAACACAAAATCGGCGCGTGTTTTTAAATGGGCATAAAACGTGTTGCCCCCCCCCCCAAAAAAAAATAAAATAAATGAATTAAAGATCAACAAAATTTATGCAACGGCGATAGAAATGCCAGTTTTTTCGATTTCATTACTTTGACGAGCGCTTGATTTCACCACGCTGCCTCACAATAAATACCATAAAAAATATGTTCTTCTTCAGGCAAGTCTGTGGGCGTGGTGACCACGACAAGAGTGACCCACGCCACCCCGGGTGCCTCCTACTCCCACACCCCCGAGAGAAACTGGGAGGCGGACTCTGACATGCCTGAGAACTCCAAGTGCTTGGATATCGCTGCACAGCTCGTCAAGAACAACCCAAACATCAGCGTGAGTCACTGTCGAGCTTTCATGTGTGTGTGTGTGTGTGTGTGTGTGTGTGTGTGTGTGTGTG